AACAGTTGACTGATAGCGTCTTTGGAAATATTATCCCTTTTTATACATATCTTAAAAGAGACTTAAACTTGTAATACGTAGTAACAACACATATTTGACCAGTTCAACTAAAAGTGGAATTATTAATACTGACCTTGAGTAAAGTGATAAATCTGAATTAATTGACTCTTTACTTTCTTCGGTGAAGGGCATTGACATTCACTTGGTTAAATAACTGCTTTAAAGCGATGTAATATCTGAAACTGGTTTATATGAACCAAAAGCGAAGAAATCTATAAATAAATCGTAGTTAACTGACATATATTCGTGTGAAGGGGTAGACACACATGACATATTAAATTAAATCCCCAATATCTACTGGTCACGATATGTGTCCCATATAAAAGGAGGTGAACCTATTGCCGTACTCCAAGCAGAATATAGTTTGTAATAAGAACTTTTAACAATAAAAACTCGATAATACTATATTCGGAAGGATGGGAAATTGTCAAATAACTTTCTCTCACCCTAGACGAGACGGGGTGGGAAAATCACCCTGATTGAACTCGTGCTCCGTTTCGTTTGAGCCGCAATATATGGTTATTGAAAAAATAGTATGACTAATTGTAAACTTCAATAGTTTAGTAATACCTGGATATGGGACACGAGAACTGCATTTAATTTGTGAGCAGTCATATTAAGATGAGTATGATGACTCTTTAACGACAAATAATTGGATGAGATTATCGTAAGTTGATGTCGACCGTCGCTAAGATATATTTTAAGTTTTCAACTAAAACTGTCAAACACCAAGCGGTCACCGGTGATCGCAACCTATTGTTCTATAATTGTGTCTACAAAGACGGTACTCGACGAGTTAATGAGATGGCATGAGATAATAGAATGAAACAAATAACTGGTTTCAAGTCGTTTGCAGGTCGTAAATGTTCTCAAAGTCGAGAATAATAACATGGCACCAACGCTCAAATTCTGTCTGGTCACCTCAGTCAATATAGAAAGAACGTTTATCACTTTAAGAAACATTTTGTAAATGCAATCTGACCTCTGAAAGTGTGGCGAAATATCTATGTGATTATTTACGTTTAATTTTTTTATATTTTAATGGCATGGTGATAATATGTGCAGTAGCATGACGTACTGACATTTTGAATTAAAAAATAATAAATCTTTTTTTATTTCGCATATATTGTCACTTTTTATGCATATTTGCATGCAACAGTATTTTGTTCCACAGTATTCTGTCTATACTGTTCAATAATATTGGAAAACTATACGTATCGTCCAGCTATTCGATATAGTTGGACTGCACGGTTGGTGCGGTGGCTGGGCAACCGGCTGCCGTGCAACGTGTCGCGGGTTCGATTCCCGCACGGAATCACACTTTGTGTGATACACAAATTGTTGTTTCGGGTCTGGGTGTCATTGTGTATGTAAACTTGTATGTTTGTAAACGCACCCACGACACAGGAGTAAATCCGAATGTGGAGCAACGTTTTTTTTAAAGAAAATATTTTTTCAAATAATGCAACTGATGAGATGTTAATAATTACCTAACTTGCTGCTTTTGAACCAGAATGAAATTACCACATATTTTTTCAAATGAGTCTCTATAAATTATTGTTGTCAATTATAAGAAAGGAGAAGAATAGTAACTTGTTCATTAGCGTAAAGAATACAAACAAGTTTCTTCTTGCAAAGATATTATATTCATTCCAGATAAAGTTATGTAATACAAGGAAAATAAATCGAGTGTCCAGTGTTCTATTGCTATGAACCCTTTATAATGAGCACAGACATGAACTGTCAGAGGCAGATAGTTAGGCCTATTAGGGCTGATTTTTCAATCATCAGTTAATGCTTAAAACTGTAGAATAAAACTGACAGTTGACAGTTTTTAGTATAGAGGAATTGCCAAAAATTTAAACTTATTCCTCAGTTAAAATTAACGTGAGCATTGAAAAATCGGTCCTAAAGGGGCGTCTAAACGGGCATTTTACGACAATTTGTGGCTGCAATTATTGGCAAACATTGCCCAACCAGGGCCAGCCATCAAATAAACGTTTTACATAGTTCGCATTTAATGGCTGAACAATAATTGCAGACAACATGTTGCAATATGGCTGCAATGGTATGGCCTTTGATTCAGAACCCTTTAATGAGCCACACAATCCAGCAACAATGGCCGACGAAATGACGCTCATCGCAGCCGCTTACATTGTTTTGGCAAAAAAACGAAGACAAAGGACACGAATGTGGATTCGACCCTACCTATGTAGGCGTGACACTTTGGATTCCGTAGACATGGAATTAACGCTGGATAAATAATTATTTAAAAATTTTACAAAAATGTCTAAGAGCGACTTCGAATTTCTTGTGAACAGAATTGGACCAAACATGCAAAGGCAAGATACAAACATGAGGAATATAATAATACCTGTGACTACAAGATTGGCAATAACTCTACGGTATTTACCGACTGGAGATTCTTTCAAGAGTTTGATGTACCTTTTCAGAGTGTCCGCTTATTATAATTACTATAATGACTTTTTTTTTTTTTAATATTAAACGTTGCCCCACACTAGGATTTTCTCCTGTGTCGTGGGTGCGTTTACAAACATACAAGTTCACATACACAATGACACCCAGACCCGAAACAACAATTTGTGGATCACACAAAGTGTTGTCTCGTGCGGGAATCGAACCCGCGACACGTTGCACGGCAGCCAGTTGCCCAGCCACCGCACCAACCGTGCAGTCTTTATTATAGACTTTATTATAATTATAATTACTTCAAGTCGAAGGAAGAAAGGGACGCGCATATACAGTAAAACAGAACAGCAATATAGATGGCCCAGATATATTGCAGTATTTTCTATTGCGGCCACACGCCGGCGACACATAAAACATTTTGATATACCAAAAAATATGTGGTTATAATGCCGGGCCATCCTTTAAATATTGCATAATGTTGGCTGGTATTGCTAGCAATGTTGCCGGCCACAGTATTGCAGCCACAAAATGTCGTAAAATATTGCCCGTTTAGACGCCCCTTTAGATATGTTCATACGTCAGTCAGACGTGGAAATCGTGTATCTGGAAATCATCAACACGTCGAAAAGTAAGTTCCATATTAAAATGTGTCAGACATATCAAAATCCTATTTACATCTAGTAAGTAAATCTAAATATACATAGGTTTATTAATCATTTTGCAGTAATGTAATCGAGAGTTACCATGTGTTTGTTATGAGTAATAAATATAAAATGTCAGAACGTTCATCAAACACTGGACAGCAAATAAACCGAGCCACCCGCTACCTAGGCACTCTAATTCGATTTTCTCAAAAACTAAAAAACCTACAATTATCAAAGTTGTACGTACAGAAAGTGCATTTCATGGTGATTGAAATGAAAGAAAACTCATTGGGTTTAATCAATATTTCTGTGTTTATTAAGGATTTTACAAAGAAGAGTCGTTTACCAGTAGTGACAATCGTTAGTAATGATAAAGTGAATAAAAAAATTAAAGCCAAAAACAAAGATAAGATAAAAAAAAGTTTTTGATCAATATTCCGTATTCCCTCCCCTTGCTCGGATAACTGCCAGCATCCTTGTATTCATCGACCTTACGAGCCTGACAATAAAATCTTGAGGAATTGTATTCCACTCCTCTTCAATTGCGATTCGCAGTTCTGGAAGCCTTGTTGGAGCAGGTACCCGGCCCCGAACCCGACGTTTCAGCTCATCCCATAAGTGTTCTATCGGATTCAAGTCCGGGCTTCGAGCTGGCCAGTCCATCGTGCGAATGCTGACGTCGCGTAGATACTGGGTCACCACATGAGCAACATGAGGCCGTGCATTATCATGCATCAATTGCATATCCTGTCCGATATATCCTGCGTAAGGTACCACATGGTCTGCGAGGATTTCAGTAATGTAGCGATGAGAAGTCAATCCACGTGTACGGCCCGTCGGTTCGATGAAAACTAACGCTGTATGTGCTGTTAACGAGATGCCGCCCCAGACCATTACAGATCCTCCTCCATAAGCAACAGTTTTCTCGATGCAACACTGAGAATAACGTTCTCCAGGGCGACGATATACTCTCTGACGTCGATCACTTCCATGTAGACTCACCCTGGTCTCATCAGTGAAGAGTACATTACTCCACTGCTCTAATGTCCAATCCCTATGCTCTCGAGCAAATTCAAGTCGTGTTCGACGGTGTGCTACCGTTAATGCTGGGCCTGTTGCAGCTCTTTTTGGGGTCAGGTTCCGTTCAGCAAGTCTCCTTCTGACGGTATCTGAACTTATGACCACTTGGCGTTCGTCACGCAGACTTTGTTGGACTTGAACTGCGTTGAGGTGGCGATTTCGCAGAACAGTAAGGTGGATATAACGATCATCTGCTGCTGATGTAGCCCTAGGTCTGCCCGTACCTGGACGGCGATCGAATGCTCCAGTCTCTAGGTATCGTCTGTAAACTCGTTGCACCGAAGATCTGCTGATTCGAAGCCTTCGAGCGACTTCACGTTGCGCAATGCCTGCTTGAAGTAATGCTACAGCTTGAGCTGCTTCCTGAGGTGTTGTATCCATTATTAATCGGAAAAAGTAGCAAAAACACACGCGTCTGAGCAAACGATGGAGAAAAACTAAAGAAATGATAGGAAATATCCGACTACCCTCATTGCAGACAAAAAGAACGCTAATTTCAATCTCTGGTGAAAACAGAGCAAATCATTAGTATTGTGTTTGTTGCTTGATTACAATGTGAGTTGATAGATAAACGCCGATGATCTTTGAAGGAGCTCAACTGTTATCAAAGCTAAGATCATCCTCAAGTTAAATCATCTTTATAAGAAAGATAAACAATATCAGATTTGGTTTATTCGTTTAGGTTAAAAAATGCCGCAGAGTCACCAAACATCTGTTTTTGCGTTGGAGTTATAAAAATTACAATGCGAAAACGGATTCCGTAACAGGTGTAATACAAAAACAAGAAATTCAGTGGGATTATAGATATTTTAATTGTTCCATTTATAACAAACGTCTTACGACAACAAATAATGACTTAGAAGTAGGGTTCAACAATGAGGTCATCTAATAATTGAGATCAGAATCAGTGGTGGTGGTGGTGTTCAGGAATGATGTGCTTGGCATGACCCACGAACTTCACGTTCGCGTTGAATCTGTTAATAATTGACATTAAGTTAAAATTTTTCTTAAAAATATCAAAAGAATAATTCAATTTAGTTCAATTTACAAACTCACCCAGTCTTCTTGTCAGCGTGGTACTCCACGATCCTAACAGTACCGTCGGGCTCGTGCAGACTGTACACGCCCTTCACGACATCTCCATCACGAGCTTCGTGTTGAGACTTCTTGTCACCGGTGTGAGGGTCCTCCACTTTGTAGGCGAATTCATATTTAGGGTGAGACTGTAACACGAAACACATTGTTATGGAATGCTGTAGGATACACTTTGTGTCAATGGAAGACTAGACAATGAAATAAACTTTTGTCTTACATAGTAGACAACGTGCTTCTCGGTGCCATGTCCGTGGTGCTGCTTGATGCTCTGTGACGAGGAGGCGTGGCCGTGGTGTTCCTCGTGATGGTTTCCTCCATGATATTGTTCCTCGTGGTGGTTGTCATCATGATGGTACTGCTCGTGGTGGTGGTCATCATGGTAGTACTGCTCATAATGGTGTTCATCATGGTGGTTCTGTTCGTGTTTCTTGCCTTGTTCCTCGTGGTGCTCTTCATGATGTTCCTCGTGGTGTACAGGGTGTTTAGTCTCGTGAGTGTGGTGCAGTACGATGCTCTGTGAGGAGACGGCGTGACCGTGACCATGATGTTGGTTGTGACCTTGTTGAGGTCGCGCAGCGACTGTTGCGACCACAGCAGCGAAAAGGAATATCTGTAAATTATTTTAATAATTCTTAGAAGATGATGAATCAGATGGTATTCGGAAATAACTTAGTTTGAATTTTATTTTGAGAAAATAATGTTTAGTTACTCAAAGTATTATTTATTTACCTTATACATTTTGAGGAGTTATGGTAATTATACTTTTACTACCAATGAGAGACTGATGTCTTTTCAACTTGAATATTTCGTTTTTATAGAAGCCAAAGGTGCAAAACCACTAAAAATGCAAAACCAGTTTTTTAATGAATGAAACATAACTTTATGATAAAGTTACGACTTAATTCACGTATGTAATAAAACTTTAGTCAAGGTTACTTTTATTAACCAAAAACTTGATCATGAAACAAGATCATTGTGCATTAACGTATTGTGTAAGTTGTCTCACTGTCCCTTTAGATCTTATAAAAAGTGAAAATATGTTCTCCAAGATTATCAGTCACTGTTCAGAGCTTCAACAGTAAATAATACAAACTTTCAATATGTACAAGGTACTGAAATCCATTCATTCAGGTTTTTCAGTCAATTAGAGTAGAGACAATTATTCTTTTATAAACTACGCAACCATATAGGTCAATCTAAAAACCTATTTTTAAGGTCGGTTAGAAATAAATATCCTTTATATATTTCCATAGATCATCCTAGCAGCTGCAGTGGTAGCAGTAGTCGCGGCGCGTCCACAGGACGGTCACCACGAACACCACCAACACGCCTCCTCTTCACAGAGCATCAAACAGTACCACGGAAAAGCTACCGAGAAACACGTCGAGTACTATGTAAGATAATGCATCAATTCAATCTAAGCTTTTAGTACTTCTAAACGGGACTGACAATATCTAACACAATATTATTTTGCAGTCTCATCCCAAATATGAGTTCGCGTACAAGGTTGTGGACCCTCACACCGGTGACAAGAAGTCCCAGCACGAGTCTCGTGATGGTCACGTCGTGAAGGGCGTGTACAGTCTGCATCAGCCTGATGGTTCTGTCAGGATTGTGGAGTACCATGCTGACAAAAAGACTGGGTGAGTATTCTCACATAAATTTTAGTAACAAAATATGAACAAAATGTAGACCATAGTTTTAATGTATTTTTGTTGTGTGTCATCAGATTCAACGCCAACGTGAAGTATGAAGGTCACGCCGTACACATCGTTCCTGAACATCATCATCACCACTGATTATATTTAAATACTATATTTCTACTGAACCCTTCCTGTTAAAACTTTAATTATAAGATTGTTGATTCTTGAGCCTCAAAAATGTTGTTGTAATGTAAATAAGTAATTAAAATAAAATTTCTTAAACTACCTAATAAACCGTTGTTTACTTAATATGTTATTTTATTGGTTTAATTTTAATAATCAAGTTTAGATTAAATCTAGGAATCTAGATATTATAAATAGATGTTTGATTGATTCTCCTTGGACACTTATCTGATAAAGAACTTGTTATTTTTTCGACTGGTATTATTTTGGTGACGTGATTGACAAATTAATAATGACAGTTTCTTCTGAATTTACAAAATATAAGATTTTTTATTTATAAAATATAGAATAAATAATACTATTAAATATAATACTATTGAGTTTATTTCCATGGTCAAGACTATTATTTCTATTGATGGTAGATATTGGTTTTGAGTTTTAGTTTTAAGTAGTTATATTTCACCTTGTTTCAACAAGGTAACTAGAAAAGTTACTGAAGGTCAGTGTAACTTATTGAAAATTTAAGAATTAATTTCTCTATCCACAGATCCTTTTTCTCGTTGCTGTAGTAGTGACGGTCGCTGCACGACCTCAACACGGTCATCAGCAAAAACGCAACCATGGTCACATTTTCTTACCACAAAAAATTTTACTGCACCGAAGTCACGACGTCAATCTCAACAGCGCATACCTCGAAAGCCACGGGGATAACCACCGAGAAGACTTTTTTCACGGTGAACACCACTATCCTGGACCTCATATGGAACATTTTGAAGAACTCCTCAATCCAAACTCATCATCAGAGAGTATCAAGCGGCCCAACGAAAAAGAACCCGGGAAACACAGCGAGAACTATGTATGTTACAATTCAATTGAATATATGTCGCAGGGATATGATAAAAACAGAGATTTGGTCAATTCCCTAAGGGGTTTGATCAAATCACGGAGGATGTTAAAATGACAACACTATTTTATCATTTCCCTGAATTTGATCAAATACCATAACTGGTTCAGTGAAATGATAAAAATAACATGTTTTTGCTTGCGTCGGCTGTTATTTTGTTCAATTTCGAAAAAATCCTCCTTTCATCGTACTATTAAACGTTCACCTTACAAAGCCTTATTTGGAGCAGAACCAAAAACAGGACTCCGATCTACTCATATATCGACAGAATTACTCGATAAGTTAGTTACTGAAGAGGATTTGGATCAGTTTCTTAAACAGCAAAACGTATCTTCTACTGAATTAATTGACAACAACGCTACAATTTCAGAGGAACAACTAGCGGTTGAATCAATTGAAGCTAACACTTCGACTTCAGAGCAAGTTGTAGCTGGTACCTCAGCCATACCCAGTTATGGTATTTGATCAAATCCCTGATTTGTTCAGGGAAATGATAAAATAGTGTTGTCATTTTAACATCCTCCGTGATTTGATCAAATCCCTTAGGGAATTGACCAAATCTCTGTTTTTATCATATCCCTGCGACATATATACATTTTATCTCTAAATAGAAACCTAACTATTGTAAATTCTGTCACAGGATCATTCCACTTCTCTTGAACAAGATACTCATATACCCACTAGAACTACAATAATAATAGTTAAGTTCATTTCTTTATAACCTTTAATTTGGATTGTTTTACTTGTAAATCTATTTGCCTGCGATTTTACATGCGTGAAATTTGAATCCACAATCCACACATAGTTTTACGTACACGTAATTTTTAAAATTGAAACATTTTCATTCGTAAATAGTTTTTCAAAAAAAAAAACAAAGAATTGGTATAGGATATTTACGGAATTATATATTAAATATAGGATAGGTACGGTACAAAAAATACTCAATATCCATTTGTTCAATTGCAGATACAACCCGAGTCTGACTATGAGTTAGGAGACCCTTACATCGTTGAAAAGAAATCCCAACAAGAGCCTAGGGCCGTTGCAAAGGGCGTTTACAGTCTGGATCATCCTGATGATTCTGTCAAGATCACAAAATACTATACTGATAGGAAGAGCGGTTGTATATTCCAAATCTTTCCTAGATTGGTACTGAATTTATTAATTCGTATGATCATAAAAAATACGAAACATCTGGTCTAATTACAATTTTATTTTATTTGCAGATTCAGAACTAACATGATAAATATATGACAGTTGTAATCCACATCATTCCTGAAGGCTGCGACTGTTTACTGTGTGTTTGCTATTTACCTTATACTTTAAGATTGTTGAATAAGTTGTTTAACTTTTAAAATAATAATAGCAATAAATACGATTACACCTAACTTACTTTTATCGTTCGCGGTGGCGCGTGCAGTGGATCGCTCGATTCCCTACAATATGATTGAGTTGGGCGGTGCTGGTGTACGTGTCATGTTCGTGAACGGGCGCCGTCAACTGGGACTGGTCAGCTGCAGACTGTATTATTTATTTTCCTTAAGGTTATTTTCTTTTTCTATCACTTTGACTAGATTTTAGTGTTATATTGTTCTCGCACAATCGAAAAAGAGTAACCTATGGAGTTTCTTGCTCGTTCTTCTCCATAGGAATCGACACCTTAGAATGAGCAAATAGCTTCACTTTTAATTTTTTTGGCGTTCAATAGTGCCTTTCTGGTCTAATTGAAATAAATGATTTCGACCTTGACTTTGACCACGGCCTCATACAAAACCGACGTGAAACAACGCTTGCGTTGTGATTCGTCATGTGAGTGAGGTTACCGGAGTGCTAATTAAAAATCTAGTTTTAACAAAAAATGTTATGCCTGATAGATATTGCCGTATCCAATATTTTACATTACATTATCAGAAATATGGAGGAACGAAGTTACCTACATCTCAATTATTTCAGCAAAAAGTTCAAGACTTATTCGAGCGTTCGATATAAATTCCACCAAAAATAGTTCTTCAATGAAAAATGTAATTTTCAACTGAGATTTGGTAAGTCTAGGGACTGTTCTTATGTCTATTTTCGAATTTTAAAAAAACCTTCATAATACAATTATGCCTAAATCTAGTAGTAAAGTCAGAACGTAATATGTTTAAAAATAAAATAAGTAATGTAGAAATTACTATACTGTATTTAAATAAATTATTTACAATATGAACACAATGTTTTGTCCAATAAATAACAATCTTGAAATAAGTATTAAAATAACAATATAACGGTTTGCTCAGATTTATGGGATCAGTGGTGGTGGTGGTGCTCAGGAACGACATGAATGGCGTGACCTTCGTAATGCACATTGGCATTGAATCTGTAAGGAAATGGAAATGACAATAAATTGAAAATTAAAAACGATGTTAAATTACTTTTTAGAACCTTTGATATTTACCCAGCCTTCTTGTCAGAGTGGTACTTTACGATCCTGACAGAGCCATCAGGCTGATGCAGACTGTACACGCCCTTCACTACATCACCATCGCGAGCCTCATGCTGGGACTTCTTGTCACCGGTGTGAGGGTCCACGACCTTGTATGCGAACTCGTATTTAGGATGAGCCTATAACAAATTAATAATGTCGTAACAGATTTCAGTTAGACAATAATAGATTAGTATTTTTATGAATTCAGTAAAATATTCCTACATAGTACTCGACGTGTTTCTCAGTGGCCTTTCCATGGTACTGCTTGATGCTCTGTGAGGAGGAGGCGTGTCCATGGTGTTCCTCGTGATGGTGCTCTCCGTGATGTTGTTCTTCATGATGTTGTTCCGCGTGGTGGGACTGTTCGTGATGACGATTATCATGGTGGTACTGCTCGTAGTGGTGGTCGTCGTGGTGGTACTGTTCATGATGATGTCCATCATAATGGTGTTCGTCATGATTTTGTTCCTCGTGGTGGTGGTTATCCTGTTGTTGTTCTTCTTGGTGGTGGCCCTCATGGAGGTATTGTTCTTCATGGTGTTCCTCGTGGTGTACGGGGTGCTTGATCTCTTGAGAGTGGTGCAGTACGATGCTCTGCGAGGAGATGGCGTGGCCGTGACCGATGTGTTGGTCGTGACCATGACCGTCTTGTGGCCGCGCGGCGACCATCGCAACTACAGCGGCGATGAGGAAGATCTGCAAAAATATACAGTGAATATTTCAATCAATATTTTTTTAATTGTCTTTTTTGTTTTTCATTATTCTATATGGTTTTATATGAATATCCAGTCTGATCTCGGGGAAACTTTCGAAGGAATTAAAAGATTATTTTTTTTCCATTAAAAACCGTACCTTGTACATTTTGCAGGTTTGTATGTTTACTTTCGAAGTACTAGCTGTAACTGATAATTTCTCAGTGCATGTTTTTTCTTTTTATATGAGCAATGGAACATGTTAAAGGGACTGGCTGAACCAGTTTGCTATATAATAATGTCATTTTTGGTAAAATGTGTTGACCTTGAGAGAGAATGTATTATTACTTCATTATCGAAAATAAGTATCGTAATCGTAAGAAGCACTCTAGTGTTGAGCAAATGCACAGAGTTCACCAAGAAATTAGACGTTGCTTTGAGGGTAAACTATACTGCTCGGCGGCATTCCTGCATGTGCAGCAAGCCTTTGACCGGGTCTAGCACAAGGGTTTGCTGTGCAAAGCCTACGTAGCAAACGTACGTACGCCGACGTAGCCTACCTCGCTAGTGATGAAGTTCCCAGTGTGGCCAGTTCCAAGATTCAACATCTCCTGAACGACACTTATTCATGGATGAAAAAGTGGCGTATCCGAGCAAGCGCCCAAAAATCAAACCACATTACATTCACGTTAAGAAGGGAAAACTGCCCACCTGTCAAACTTGGCGCCGATCCTCTACCAGACACAGAATGTATAAAGTACTTGGGTTTTCATCTGGATAGAAGACTTACCTGGAACTATCACATAAAGAAGAAAAGAGATGAAATCAACATTAAATTAAGAAATCTCCTCTGGCTCATGGGCAGAAACTCAGTCTTGTCTGTTGACAATAAGCTCTTAATTTATAACTCAGTCCTGAAACCCATCTGGACCTACGGTATTCCACTCTGGGGCTCCGCCAGCAAGAGCAACACAATGTGCCTACAACGAGTACAAAACAACATCCTACGAACTATTGCAAGTGCTCCGTGGTTCTCCAGAAATGTCGAGATACACAATCATCTGAACGTTCCAACAATTCAATCAGAGATAGACAAATACAAGAAAAAGTATGCGGAACGCCTAGCTGTTCATCCCAATGACCTGGCAACTCAACACTTATATCCTTCAGCCATGGAGAGGAGACTGAAGAGGAAGGATGTCTTCTAAAAAGGCAAATGAGGCGAAGGCCTCGTCGTCTTCCAATCAAGATTCCACTCAACTCATCTGCTTATAGTCTTGCGACTGATTGCTGATATTAAGCAAAAAAAAAAATCATACCTAAGAATTATATCTTTAATTTAAAGTATCAATCAGTCAAATAACAAAGGTAAATTTAATATTCAAAGGTTTTACAATTAAATTTGAAATATATCCAACACACTGGTTAGTAGTATCGTCGTTTTTAGGGAGCTCTCCTTTGCAGACACAATGCCGTAATTAAACTGTTTTTTATATGGTCGGCAAATGTACTATCAGTAGTCACCTTAATTACTGTCACTAGTATCAATTTAGTATATATAATAGTAAGCTTAATTAATTGTTTTAATTATTCACTAAGGACAGTATAAACCTGGAGTAAAGGGCCATAATTCACTTATGACTTTGTAAACAGACAGGTTTTTGGATTACATCACGTGCAGTTTTGGATTTAGCGCAAAATTGCTTTAATTCAAACTCTAATTTTAATCGATATCTTAAATGGTTTTAATGAGGAATATCATGTACCTATGTATTATATGGTCCAACATTCTAGAAAAAATATTACTTATAAACGATAATAAAATGCTTTTGGAGAACAGAATTATTACGTTTCACAACTATTATCACTTCTTACTTTATTAGAATAAGGTGACAAAAAAGCACATAGTTAACCTAATCGTAAGCAATTGGCTTCGTCGATCGACACGGGCGCATCGCAAAACCAGGGGAGTTACAAGTATCTACGTTGCCGGTCATTGAGGATTGGGTGTTTGACGATTATGGATGGGGTGGAAGATGGACCATGATACGTATTGCTATCGACGTCTTTAGGATAAGACTTTTAGGGAAAGAAGGGCAATTTTATAATATTACTCAAAGTCAAAATCAAAGTAGAAATCATTTATTTCAATTCTATTCTAATTTAAGGTAAACAATATACAATTTAGGAATATGGCTGTATTATTTTCGATTTCATTAAAACGTCAGTGTTTCCATTATCCTGTGGAGCCGGACTAGCCTGCATCCAAGCATTTTTGTCCTCTTTATATTCATTAAGTTTGTAATAAATGTAATCCCATTTTTCGTATTGCCATATAACGGGTACAATTCCAGACTCTGTGCTACTACTGAGAATGTTTTTAAAAACTCAGTAATACTTTCTTTGCCTGACACTGTAATCGAACCCGTGGCCCCACTGCCCAGCAGTCGCACTTGTGACTATTCGGCTACCGAGGCATTGCAGCTAAAAACTGCAATTCCATATCAACTTTTTAATACTAATACTATTATAATAGTTCAGTAATTAGGTAATTCTAGCTGGATATTTTTTCGGGAGTTTTGAAAATCGGCAATTTTGACGATTTTGATGTGCTTTTTTCGATTTCCATTTTACATCTTTGTACATACATGTGCCGCTCGGGAAAAATAGATTTTTTAGAATGCCTCTTTTCTTGTGTATTTTACGACAAAACCGTTAACTACAAAATTATACTTTCTTCAATTTATGTCTTGACAGTTTTTTGAAATACATTTAGTTTTGGCGCCAGAGCACCGCAAAGCATATTTTTATGAGCATTTTGGGAAAAAAATGTCACACCACGTGAAAGTAGAGCAGGCACCGCCTTTATAGGTCTAATGCTCATGTGATCGTGGTACACACTTTAGGAACTTGCCATAATCTCCGGGCGGTAACTGTTTCTGATGAACTGCACATAGGAGATTTCTATTTGGGGACCCATCGATATGTCATAGTCGTTATTTTTAAACTAATTTCCAAAAGTGCATCGCAAATAACCCGGGCGAAATTTTGATCGGTCGATCGGTACCCACAATGCAAGATGAATAATTTTAACGACGGCCGTCGTGTACCTCCGTATATTATGCACTCCATTGATTAAGATGATAAGTCGGT